ATTCTTTTTGCCATGAGTAATGGTAACTTTTTTGTCGGGATAAGGCCACTCAATCCAATAAGGTGATGTCTCAAGTCACATCCACTAAATGTTCTGATAATGACCTATGCTGGTCCTAACTAGTGCTTAGAAAAAAGCTGAGTTGTGTTTCAGTCTTGGTTTGTGTTTGAACATTTTTATACGCAGTGTTTTTTCTTCTGAAAAAGTGTCATGCTAATCACGAGCGAATTTGAGGGGCAGTCGCCAAACGAGACTTCAATAATCAACAGTAACAGGAAAATGGATTAATGTAAAGTCAAAGGGCATGAATTTTTCGTTGTCCGCGAAATCTGTCACTTTCAATGCGTAGACTAGGCTCATTTAAGTGTTATCGTTTTTTTTTGTTGTTGTTGTTGCACAATATTAAATTGCCAATGTCTTTCAAGTGATGTAGCGTAATGCTGCTTTCACAGTGCCGCTGCCGGTGTCGACGCTGGCAGCCATGGCCGGCGCCGAGCTGACGAGTTCCAACCTGGAAGCTCAGCGCGAGGGGCTGGCATTTGTTGCCGGCTTCGTGGCATACAAGTGTCACCACATCGACGCCACCCTCGGTAGTCGGTCTCCTGACTTCTCGGGCGCCGCCGGAGACACTGAACACCGGACATGTGCATGGATCCGGGAAAATGGATCTGGGATCTGATCCCACGGATCCTGATCTCGGATCAGACGGGATCATAGATCCAGCTCTGTAATTTATCGAGAGATCCGTAGGGATCACAGATCCGATTCTCATTTTTGCCTGAGATCCAGTGAGATCGTAGATCCTCACTTATTTTTTGTCAACACATATCCCAAAAAAGCACTTGTTTCAACTCACTAACGTTCTGTTTGAGTGATTTTATGTGATCGCACGTCATAATCCATAGTTTGTGTCACTTATTGGCATAGAAACCCTTTAAAACATGGTATCAAATGTGGTGCATGGTGGGATCCACTCAGAACATAGATCCATGTTCTTAATTTATCGTCAGATCATATGAGATCATAGATCCAAGATGTATTTTTCACGCCGGATCCGGTGGGATCAAGATCCCAATCTTTACTTTGCTTCGAGATTCACTGAGATCATAGATCCATCACTCGGATCCATGCACATGCCTGCTGAACACCCTGCCGAACAGCTGAATTGTGACGATCAGCCGAGGCCAGCTGTTTGTTCTGTCACAAGCCTGGATGGCCGCTGTGGAGGAGTTCGAGCGGAACTTCTGCCTGCTGATGGGGGCAACTGCAGATCAGGAGCCGCGAGTCATACAGCGTCTCAAGCTGTTCATCGCCGTCAAGCAGCCTCAACTCGGCACCCGCCTGTCCAGGAAGTTGGCGAGCACCCGTCTCCACCTCCCCCTTCGGTGCCTTAGCCTGACTCTGGACGAGGTCCGGCAGCTGAAAAGAGCCGATAGAAAAGTTGGCCATCATGCAAGGAGCTCTAGGTGAGCTGGTGAACCGGCTCGTGTAGCGACTACGACTCAGCGTGGTGCTGTGTGACTCGGTGTGGTGCGGCCGGCTCTGTATGGGTGCTGTGCGACTCGGCATGGTGCCTCCGGCTGTGTGTAACGGCTTTGCGACTCGATGTGGTACGGCCGGCTCTGTTGGTGCTGTGCAACTCGGCATGGTGCCTCCGGCTGTGTGTAACGGCTGTGCCACTCGGTGTGGTACGGCCGGCTCTGTGTGGGTGCTGTGCGACTCGGCATGGTGCCTCCGGCTGTGTGTAACGGCTGTGCGACTCGGTGTGGTACGGCCAGATCTGTTGGTGCTGTGTGACTCGGCATGGTGCCTCCGGCTGTGTGTAACGGCTGTGCCACTCGGTGTGGTACGCCCAGATCTGTTGGTGCTGTGTGACTCGGCATTGTGCCTCCGGCTGTGTGTAACGGCTGTGCGACTCACTGTGCGACTCGGCATTGGGTAACGGCTGTGCGTTTCAATATTGTACCACCAGCTGTGAATAACGGCCACCCGTAAGTGAAACTTATAATATTTAGTATCAATGTTTATTCGATTTTTTTCAGCAATGCAATTTCAGTGCATCCGTCCTGAGCGCACTAGCAGGGCAGCGGAGTCGATGTAATTTCGGTGACTCCCGACTCCTAGTTCCAAAAACTAATTCCGACTCCTACTCCGGTCCGGGAGAATTGTCTATTCTGACCGATTCCGGCTCAGACTTCGCAGCCCTGCAGCTCCGCAGTCTGCGGAACCGATGAATTTTTGGTGACTTCGACTCTGACTCCTGCTCCGACTTCCAAAATCGACTCCGACTCCGCTTACGGCTCCAGTTCGACTCCGACAATCCGATTCAAAAGTCCGGTCCGACTCCATAACCCTGCGCCCTGGGTCCCATACAAGCCTCGCTGGTTTCGGCCCACTCTTCCTGGACGTGACCTTATATCACTATTACTCACTTTAAAATGCGACATATTTTCCATTTCTCGTGCGAAAAGTGCTCGCGAAAGCTTTTTGGGCGTTATAACACGAAAAAATGCCACCGGAAAGCCCGTAGTAATGCTCTATACATAGGCCGGCCGCGGCGGGAGCATCCCAGTGACGTCATCCGGGGCCGGTAGGGGGAACGTAAAAAATTCCCTAATGAACCTACCTGGTATATAGGGCCTTGCGCTCAGTATTGAAGCGGTTTTTAGGCAAAAACTCCGGCAGGTGGCTGTTTTTCTGTTGGTAAGACTGGCCTCAGAAATTCCCGGGAAGGTTAAGAAAAAAAAAAAGATTGGCTCGAGGGTACAATTTGGTCGTGATCCAACGGCTTTTACGTGAGCTTTTAACGAAAAATCACCCGCCGCCCCTATATGTACGAGGGTTAAAATGGGATATATTAAATGCTTTGTGGAGGAAGTGTCATGTTATAAATTTGATGCATTGGAAATGCAGAAATGCCCAAAGAAGGAAGTGTCATGTTATAAATTTGATGCATTGGAAATGCAGAAATGCCCAAAGAGTTCCAGAAAGGTATGGAATTTCAGTAAACTTGGTTGTGACAGCAATGGGGTCTGGTAGGTGGGGGTAATGGCCCTGCCTGGCGCCTAAAAAGGGGGCACAACCCCGAATGACCTGCCGACCACTGCTCTAAAGCCTGGTTGGAGGTTCAATTGAAATGAAAATGAGTGACATAGGTACATAAAACACACTAAAACGCCAGCAATATCTGCACTGATCTTTCCCATAATCACTCACCATACCAGTAAGGATGAAAGCCATGTCCAACAATCCATATCATTTCACTGTTTGACTTCTTATTATTCTTATTCTTAACACCACAGCAGCTCCTTATATACTGCACACGCAACACTTTTACGCCACAGCTAAGCTCCTTCACAACGCACACGTCCTCTCCCTTTTCTGACTGGGCACAGACTGAACATGGCGGGCGCAGAGGGGCGCACAAAATGGCGAACTTTTTCAATTAACTAAGGTCTTTGTAATGCTACAACAAAAAGGGTAGTAAGAAAACTAAGATTGTAAGTTACAACATGCGTTTGATTTGTTAATTAACACGTTACCCAGAAAAAAGGCAAAGAAAGCATAAACAAACATGTTTGTCAAATAACACGGCATGGTTTGCACGGATAATATTTGTCGGCTCACAATGATGTTAGCTTTTCTGCTTCGATGAAATGGATGTGGTGTTAGGTTGCAAACATTTGTGTTATCTGACCCGTTTTTTGCAACAACGTGTGTTTTAATACTAGATTTTGCTTGAAGAATTAACTTACTGGTTTGTTAGCATTTTTTACAGTGTAGGCCACTTATTTTTCGTCACAGCCCTGACACTATGAATATTTTTTTTAACTAAAAATAAAAATATATAAATGGTAGCCCACCCGACCCATGCCTTTATATTACTTTGTAAACACTTACCATTGCTTTTGTCGACCAGTTAACCCGCTTCGAGTCAGTGCTTGGATCCCTTTGCGGGCCGGGAGGTGGTAAAACACCCCCTGTCTTACCCCGTTTACATGAGTCATTCAGCCTAAACGGAAATATCCGATTAGCCAGGGAACGGAAAAATGCGTTTCGGTGGTCCCGTTTACATGAGCATTATCGGAAAAAACCGTTCCGGAACGGATAATTCCCGTTACGCCGGCAGCCCGAAAAATACGGATATTTTGCGCATTTTTACATGTCTGGCGAAGCTCCTATCAAGCATTATTTGTCCTTGTTTTAGGCTTAATTTACTTGATTCTTAAAAGTTTTGTATGTAGAATTGGAAATAATCATGGCACAAGCCATTATTTTACTTGTGTGCTGTAAAAGAAGTGTGATTAACTGTCAGAAAGCAAGTAAACAATTGAGGTCTTGGACAACATTGAAGAGCACATCTATATTGAAAGTCTTTTTGGTTTCAGAAAAAGGCTAAGACAGCTCATAATAGTCATAGCTCATCATGATGGAACTCCAGTAAGTTGACAAAATGAAAATGCATGAAAGGATGTGCAGGATGGTGCCACACTTCAGAAAACATTGGTATGAAAGTGGGTGGTGCGGGAGTGTGTATACATTTTTGGTTGACACATTTGAAGCACTTAAATATTCCAGCATTTTATTTTCATTTTTTGCTTTTAGCTGCTCAGTTCTTCAAAGACAGGGGTCAGATCAGTACTAGGTGAATTGTGTAGTAGATGTGACCTGTGGGTGCATTGCTTGACTGTCGGGTGCAACACAGTATCCATCACTTCCATGTGTTTTAGTCATAACAGAAATTACATCTACTCACCACCAAACTTTAAGACACTATCAGTGCAATTTTCAAAATGCATAGAATAATCCACTCTCAATCACACCAGGTAAGATGTGAAGATGAAGTCCGGGTGGTACCTATGTGGTTTGGTAGGTTGGTTGACCTTGTAGATTGGTAGGAAGTAGTTTGGTATAATAGGTTGTAGGCATGTAGGTGTGTTTGCAGGATGGTAGGTTGAAAGTTAGGTCGGTAGGTAAGGTTAGGTATTATCACGGAATATATAGTCTACGACATGGAATGGACAGATCGCGATTTAACCACGTTAAACGTGTAACTCGAAAGTAAGCAAGGAGGCGCCCGTATTATAAACGCACACAGTGTTCTCGCGCTAGAAAATCAAATATTTTTCGCAAAACCACGAAAACAACTCGACAACCTAAACAAAATTCGACATTCTTGTGCAGTAGTGATTCAAGGGTAGAATCGACGGTTTATTTAGTACTGGTAACGGCGATTTACCGTTAATCTTTTCATTCATTTGATTTTTTTGTACTTTTTTATTGTGATTCACAGTCTTCGAATATACAAGGAAAAAGCTGTAACCAGAGAAAGACGCAACTTTGTGACGATGAGGGCTTTAATTGACTGGAATGCTCTTCCAGAAAGAGTGGTTACTGCCCCAACCCTTAGCGAATTTAAGAAAGAAATCGACCAGCTTTGGGCAACGTCTCGTTCAAGCAATGAATTAGCTTGCCTGATGCATCGTCAAAATCAGCCACAAAGTTGAAAAACATCCAAACGAAGGAATATCGCGGAGAGAAAGTAAAAGTGAAAGCGAGGAAGTCGCAGGCCCTTTGCAAGGGGCCTCTTTCCATGGACAGCTTCAACTTCAACTTCAACTTCAACTTGATTAGGATTATGAATGAGTTTGCGGATTGGCGTTTTTTTATCGCGAATTTGTGAGCTTAAAAAGTGATATGGCCCAGCGCGATTCGCTGCGGCTACTGCCAAAAGGCGATATCAAAATCGTAACTGTCTAGACACCGGAGAAGGCCAAGATTACTTTACCGAGAAGGCTGCATCCGTGGCTGCCTACGACCCGGCCCGGCCGGCACCGCAAAAGCGAAGGACAACCGGCTGATGGTATCCTTCGCCAGTGGAGCTGCTGCTTCTGGAGCTGCTGCTTCTGGAGCTGCTGCTTCTGCTGCCCCAGTTATAGCGAGAGACGCCAGCACCCTGGACCAGCCGCTGGCTGCTGTCGCCTACATGGAAGTGACCACGACACCGACAGGGGCCGGTAAGTTGTTCATTGAAATGATCGTGCAGTTTGGCAGATAGATGCTCACGCTAAATTGCGTTGTACGGGAATCGCTGCTCCGGAAAACGTTTTTTTTTTCGTTTAGCTGGAATCAATTTTGTTACAAGAGGTGAAGAAAAACGGACAGCGTTGTCGAAGTGCTATTTATTGTTTCTGAACTTAATAGCGGGTTGAATAGTGGAGCTCAGCCCAGGTGGAAATTGGTACATGGCACTCGCTACTCGTTACCCCTCATGCAGACACGTGCTTTGCCTTTGTCAGGTTCGGTGCAGGCACACCAGCTTGCCCCGACACTGACGAGTGACGGTGGTTTTCCCGTCACCCCTGATGCCGGCGAGGGGCCAGCCAGACCCGTCGATGCGGCGACCGCGGTACCAGCTGACGCTGTCGAGCAAGAGCGCGCACATTTCACTGGTAGGTGAAAGACAGGGCCGAAGCATGCCCTGCATTTTGAAAGCCGTTAGAATCGGAACCACGAATGGCAGCTCCTTCAACAGCTCTATATCTGGAGCCATTTTCCGCACTGCTGGCGGAGATTCTCGATCTCTAAAGCTTTACGATACAGCATAACTTCAGGCGCTCGCTCTTCCTGCCATCTAGCGGGAGAAAAATGTCGCGGGCCGCGGCAGTAGAATCGCCATGATCCGTTCCTCTCTGTTGACTATCATGTCGCACAACATTCGTCGGTGTTTTTTTTTTCTAACCGCTTATTCTAAGCAGTAACCGACGACACACTCTGGAGGACTGATTGGTGTTTCGGTTCTCCCTCCAGGTACTGCATCGCAGTGTCGCCACCATGCACGGAGGACGCCAGAGGACGGCCCGTCAGTCTTCACGGCCCGCGCGCTGGGCCGGCACGGGTCACACGCTCGGTGAAGTAGCTGGCCTGCGCACGCAGCTCGACATCATCTGTGGTGTCATCCCAGCCTTTCTTCAGATCATTCACTCGCCGCTTCAGCCACGCCGCCGCCGGCCGCAGTCATCCGGCCACGGAGGAGATAAAGTGATAGGCCGACCACACCACAAGAACAGTGCTCTCCGTGTAAATATCACGACCGGAAGTGCGCGAGCTACTGACTGGGAGACGGCGCTCGCGCTGACGCTGTTTCCTCGACGTTTATGCAGCTCCTGGCGAGGTGACCGGTCTTGCTGCAGGTCTAATAACGCCGTGCCCGGTCCGCCGTGGACCGTGGCGACCCGCTGGTCTGACAAACCCGCCGGTGTAACTAATGTGTAACTAACCAAGGTATGAATGTATAGGTACTGAAGAAAAAAAAAACAAAAAAAAAACGTAGTGTCTAGTCAAAGCTATTTTTAGCTTTGATTTCTTTCCGCCCCTTGTATGCATGACTCATAACACTACTTGCATCTGTATTTGGCTGCACAGGTTTTTTCGCTTCTTTTTGTTATTTTCCTTTTCTTAGCAGGGAGTGTCACGACTTGCATATTTTTGTTTTTGGTGTTAACGTATGGTTCTATGGTCGTGCGGGACCGTGGGTGGACACTCCTGGTCGTCTGTTCATGGGCGGCGGACTATTTCGTAGATTAGTTAAAAAAAAAGTGTCTTGGCGTCTCGCACCCACTGCTGCCGAGAACACGTTCGTCACTCAACACTGCCCGCGCCAGGATGCTGGCCAGATCCAGGCCTTCTGCGCGCGTGTCGGCTCGAATTGTGCTGCTAACGGCGTCTGGTAGCCCGGCGATGAAAGCACTGGCGATGAAAGCACCTACCCGAATGCAAGCCGAATGCAGCAAAAGATGCTCCTCCAAGTGTGGAAACCGAGCGTCGTGCGCGCTCCAAATTTTAATACAACCAATTTTTGCAGGCTTTTGACTTTGAAAATTTCACCGGCGCAGTTCGCACAGTTTCGGAGCAATAACCCGCCAACAGAGACAGACTCACATACATCCATGCATAGTTTTAGAGTTTTATAATAGTAATTTAATTTATAAGAGTGAAAAGAAATAACCTCATGCTCATTAATATCGAAATTAAAAATATTAATCCAGAATATATTTTTGTCAATGTCACTTCGTCGGTGGATTAATATGCAGAATTGATGGGATGGAAAGCTAACCAGTGTTTCGTATCCTCCGTGTCGTGAATGTCACCGACCGAAGTGACATTCACGAAAATATATTTTTAAATAGTAGAAAATGTAAAAACATGACCTCATTTCCTCGATAATTGCCAAAACTAATGCTGTACAAATATATACTTTATTTGAAAGAATGTAATATTTCGACCACAGGTCTTTTTCAAACAGTTTCAAATTAGAAAAGATACCATTTCCATTTGCCGCATTTCCAACTGCCTTTCAACAAAAATTTATGGTTGAATCGTGCCCACTAGCTCACTCGCACCACTCATGAAATATTTGGCTAGCAAAAATAGCATCACATAGGGCACCTATTTTTCAAAATACATAGTTTCAGCCGTACGAGATAAGTAAGTATTAACATACCGACTGACCATAACACAAAACATCCTACAGGCCTTCGCCATTATTTCTCACAATTTCGTCCAAAGTCACCCAGCTGTCTACAAGGCATAACAGATGCAGCATGCCAGCAACTATCATATGCTGTCCAGGCTTTTACACATTTACGTGTCTATCCGTCCAGTATTCACATAACACCGTAACACCAGAATGGAATACAAAGAAAGCAAAGATGGGCATAATTGGCATATGTGCTGGTGTTCCCGCCTCCGTTGTGCGTGGTGTGCCGGTGTGTGCCCAAGCTGAGTCCCTGGAGACGCCACTGCCGTGCCCTGCCCTCCGGCGGTCGGCCGGCCGGCTGGGTTCCTGGTCCCTTGGTGGTCAGTTGGAGCGGAGCACCAATACACGCCGGAACGTTACTACCGCGTCTCACATGGCGCAGCCGGCAGGGTAGTGAACCGCGGTGTTAAGTGATAAGTGTTGCGGAACCGACGAGTGACGGCGATGTCTCATAACGGTGAGACTGTGGACGTTTCGCGGAGTGGTGTCGTGGCTCCAGCTGCAGGAGCTGGCCCGACGTGGGCCGGCCGGCACGCGCGACCGGACAGGCTGGACATCGCCAGCGACCGAGGCGAGTTATTTCACGTCTGGCGAGAGCGATGGGAAGATTATGTGCTGTTGTCTGGTCTAGAGCGGGCAGAGCCCCGCATCCAGATAGCCGCTCTCCGAGACTGCCTCACGGACGACACAATCAGAGTGCTTCGGAACCTGGAGCTAAGTGGACCCGATCGTACTGACGTGAGAAAGTCCATCGAGGCTCTAGAGAAATACGCGAACGGCCAAATCAATGAGGTCGTTGAGCGCAAAAAGTTCAACGAACGGGTACAGGAACAGGGCGAATCCTTTGATGACTTTTTAACGTCCCTTAGAGAACTCGCCCGCAGCTGCAATTTTTGCACTGAATGTCGCGATTCGCTTATAAGGGATAGAATCATAATGGGTCTGAGGTCTGCAGAGACCGTTCGATGTCTGTGTGCAACACCGGACCTATCTCTGTCGGCCACTGTTACTGTTTGCAGGGCGCAGGAGGCGGCATCTCGCGACGCACGGGAGCTGCACGGCGGCACTGCGGACGGCCCGTCGGCCCTGCAGGTGTGGTCGCCCCGGGCCGGTGGCGGTCCGGCCGCCTGCACTGGCTGCGGTCGGCGGACGCACCGACCCGGCCAGCAGTGCCCCGCCCGCGGGCTGCGGTGTCGGGCCTGCCGGGGACCGGACCACTTCGCAGCTGTGTGCCGGTCGAGGACCGACGGCCGGCGGAGCCGCGAGGGGTCGTACGGACGGTACCGATCCCCGCCACCCCGGGACCGGTATCGGTCCCCACCGCTCCGTGATCGGTACCTGTCATCTCCGCCGCGAGACCGGCCTCAGTCTCCGAGAGGTCGGCACATGTCGTCGCCGCCCCGAGAGGTGTACCGGTCACCATCTCCCCGCGATCGGCACCGTGCAGCGACAGGGGATCGTCGCGCCTCTCGTAGTCGCCAACGGCAGTCTCCAGACGGGTACGGCCGAGTCCGTTTCCGGCGGGATGGTGAAACGGCGAATCACGTGGACCGCCGGAGCCCCAGCACATCGGCTATCATCGCGTCTGCATCGGTACAGGGTGCCCCGAGGGTGCGGGTACGCGTAGAGGCGTACTACTCTGCTGATGTGGACGCGCTGCCCGACACCGGAGCGGACATCAGTGTTGGAGGTATCCAGTTCCTGGACGACATGAATGAGTTCCCTGAGAACCTTCTACCGCCCAACGAGCACCCGAAAGCAGCTGACGGAGCCACCGTCAAGTCTATCGGCGTTCTTCCCGTTCGTATCACCCTGGGTGACGTCACGGTTGATGACGACATACACATTCTTCCGCGCGTCACGGGTCTGCTGATGTCATGGAGGACCACCCGCCAGTTAAACATTATTCCAAAGGACTACCCGCGTCAAATGAAGAGCGCGACCTCGACGCCCTACGTCAACAGCGCTGGTTCGAGACACCCGGCAGCTCCAGACGACAGCAGTACGACTGCTACCCCGGTCTTTGAAGATCAAGCAAGCTCGGCCGGAGGGCCGCGCAGCACGGCCACGCCAGCGCCATCTACAACGCAACCCGACCGCTTTGTGGCGACATCTGTGCGGGCGGAATCCGCACCGCGCTGTCGCCAAGCTGCACTGCCATCTACATCCCAGGTCAGGGAAGAGACACTAACTCCGAGCACTCATTGTACGACCAACGGTCAGATAGCCACTCCCGAGCACCGAGAGGAGCAACGTGCCACGAGGATCCCAGACCTCGTGCAGGAATTCCCCACTGTGTTTGATGGCAACATTCGGTGCATGCCAGGAGAGGAGTACAAGATCCATCTCCGTGAAGATGCGGTGCCATTCTGCGTCACCGCGCCACGACGGGTACCACTGTCGTATCGTGACCCACTGAAAGAGGAGCTGAAACGTCTTGAGGACCAAGACATCATCTTCCCGGTGACGACTCCGACTGACTGGTGCGCACCGATCGTTGTCAGCGCCAAAAAGGGAGGCGGCATCCGGCTCTGCGTGGATCTTTCGATGCTGAACAAACACATCCGTCGAGAACGCTATCAATCACCGACTCCAGCAGAAGAAGTAGCATCCATTGTCGGAAAGAGGGCCAAATGGTTCACAGTGGTTGATGCTGCCAAGGGATACCACCAGTGCCCGCTTGCGGAAGAAAGCAGGCTACTGACAACTTTCATCACACCGTTCGGGAGATTTGCCTTCAAACGCGCCCCGTATGGTGTCTCGTCGATCTCCGAGCATTACAACCGGAGGATGGACGAGGCACTGCAGGGAATGCCCGATAACTACCGGAAAGTGGTAGATGACGTCATCATCTTCAGCAGCACACTGGAAGAACACATCCAGCACGTTCGGGAGTTTCTGTCTCGATGCGAGGAACGAGGCATTTCCCTCAACCTGGGAAAGCTCCAACTGGCTCAACGCTCCGCAAAGTTCGCCGGCTTCATTGTGACACAAGAGGGGTACAAGCCAAACCCGCAACTGACTCAAGCTCTATCTGCGTTCCCGACTCCGCGTAACATCTCTGACTTACGCGGATTCTTCGGACTCATCAACCAGCTGTCCCCATTCACCGACAGTGTAGCAGAGCTAATGGAGCCGCTTCGTTCTCTTCTGAGTCCAAGAACCACCTTTCTGTGGGAAGAGCACCATCAGCGGGCGTTCGAGAGAGCGAAGGAACACCTTGCTTCGGTGCCGACTCTCGGCTTCTTCGACCCCACCAGGCCGACGATGCTCGCAACCGACGCGAGTCGCAAGAAGGGTCTGGGCTTTGTTCTGCGACAAGCTGACAAGGATGGGCGATGGCACGTCATCCAAGCTGGATCACGCTTCCTCAGTGATGCCGAAACGCGGTACGCGACCATCGAGCTTGAGGCGCTCGCTGTATGCTGGGGCCTACAGAAGTGCCGCCTGTTCATCGGAGGGCTTCCGAGCATCGAAGTAATCACGGACCATCGTCCTCTCGTACCAATTCTCAATAGCAAGACGCTAGACGAGATTGAAAATCCAAGGCTGCAGCGTCTCAAGTTACGGATGAGTGAGTTTGGGACAATCTCAGCAAGATGGGTACCGGCCTCCCAGCACAGCGCTGCAGACGCCCTGTCTAGGAACCCGATAGAGCACCCAAACGATGACGACGAGTGTGGAGAGGATGCAACGACTTCCTGCATCCAGTCTATCGTCATCAGTGAACTCAAGGCCCATGACGTCGACATCAGTCTCAAAGAGGTCCGGGAGGCTGCTGCTGCGGACCACGAGTTCCAGCTACTGGCAGAAGTCATTCGAAACGGCTTCCCTGACAGTAAATCAGAGGTCCCAGAAGCCGTCAAAAGGTACTGGCCAGTTCGAGATCGCCTGACAGTGGACGATGGAATCGTTCTTTGTGGATGCAGGGTCGTTATACCCCCATCCCTGCGGAAGGGAACGCTCGTGACACTCCACGCGGGGCACCTGGGGAGAGAAAGGACAATTTCCAGAGCAAGACAGATCGTCTATTGGCCAGGAATGAATGCTGACGTCGATCACGTCACAAAGTCGTGCGACCGCTGTCAGAGTGAGCTCCCCTCCCAACAGCGGGAGACGCTGATCCAGCACGAGCTTCCAGGACGACCCTTTCAGCATCTGACTGTCGACATTGGAAGTCACGCTGGAGGTAAATATCTTGTTGTTGTGGATGGGTTTTCTGGATGGCGTCATGTAGCATACCTCGGCTTACACTCGGGCACAACCAAAGTCATGTCTGCATTGTTAAATGTCTTCCGACAAATCGGGGTTCCTGAGGCACTGTGGAGTGACGGGGGCACTGAATTCACATCATATCAGTTCCGAAGTTTTCTCAGAAAGTGGGGCATCAGTCATCACACATCATCTCCCCACTATCCACAATCTAATGGGCTCGCCGAGTCTGGAGTGAAGGCTGCTAAAAAGCTATTGAGAAGGTGCTGGGACTTTCGCAGGTGCAGACTGGACGAGGACGCCTGGACGAGAGGGATCCTCCAACACTGGAACACGCCCGGTAGCTGCGGAGTGTCGCCAGCTCAGCTCGTGTACGGACGACCGATCAGAGACACTCTCCCATCACACCCTGATCTCTACAAACGGCAGCCCCCTGAGGAGTTCGCTGACCGACGGGAGGAGTGCCGTCGTAAAACTAAGGAGCGCTACGACAGCCGAGCACGGGATCTCCCCGAGTTCCCAGTCGGAACCCATGTACGGGTGCAAGACGTCCGCACCCGCCGGTGGGAGAGGTGCGGCACAGTGACTGACGTCCTACCGTTCCGGAGGTATCGTGTGCGGTTTGACGATGGCGGCAGTGTAGACCGCAACCGGTGCCACCTTCGCCGGAGGTATGCTGTTGTTGAACCGTGTCTAGCGGAGAGGAGCGGTGCATCGGACAACTCAGGTCCGACCGGGCAGCGTCGCGCCGAGCTGCCCAGCGGAGGCCGACAGCCGCTTCAGGGGACGTCCCGTCTCGCCGAGGAGCCGCCGCTCCGACGGTCGACGCGGACGAGGAGACGGCCGAGGCGTCTGATAGAGGAGATGTAATGATAGGCTTGCGTGTGCGCAGCGTGATGTTTCTTTTCACTTGTCAAGTTATTTTGTTGTTATTTTGTTGTCAAGTTGTTTTCGTTGTTACGTTATGCTGGTACTTATGGCTGTAATATGAGCTCAGGTGGGACCCCTGAGGGGAGGGGAGATGTGCTGGTGTTCCCGCCTCCGTTGTGCGTGGTGTGCCGGTGTGTGCCCAAGCTGAGTCCCTGGAGACGCCACTGCCGTGCCCTGCCCTCCGGCGGTCGGCCGGCCGGCTGGGTTCCTGGTCCCTTGGTGGTCAGTTGGAGCGGAGCACCAATACACGCCGGAACGTTACTACCGCGTCTCACAGCATACTCGCATTAACATACCTATAGCGTTCAATGCCATAACATATAGCGTTCGATGCCCATAATCAATAACACACATAGTCCACCCTTCCCCCCTCCCACACACACACAAACACTATCTAGCTCTGAACGCGTGAACATACGCAGTACCTAGTGCACAGTAAACATATACAGTACACATTTACACATACATCGGCGTTGTTCCTAGCATTGTTTACCTTACAAAATAGGCCAAGACGATACATTACTGTTGAGTTCCGGACGGTTTTTTCTTATCAGCAGCGATTCAGCTATTTTACGGTCTGGATGGTCTTTAGACTTGTACAATATTTTAATTTTGAGCGGAGCAGACGTCCCTGCCCTGATCACGATTTCGGTTTTAAGCGCAGTCACGTGACCAGGTCGGGTCACGTGACTTTTCACTGCGCCGATACACAACATGGTGCGCTTAAAAAGTACTGAATCTACAAAGGCTTTTAAGGTGCTTAGAACCGTTTTTGCCATTCACCGCTTTGACACAACCTCTATAAATATTCTAAATCTCATGTCCAACAAGAAACAACTCAAAAGATCGAATATTTTTGTCTGGAAACGATTTGGCATTCAGCCATTATACGTGACGTGAGCGCACTCTAAATTCAACGATTGCGCCGGCAGACGACACCTTTTGACCGCTTTAGGCGCACTTCTTCAAGGGCGCGCTTTGTCTGGACTAAAGTTTTGGTTTTCAGCCTGCTCGCCAGATGTCAGCTTTGTCAACAGCCTCAGATTGGTGCAGTGGCGGTCGCAGGGGGGGGGGGGGGGGGCATCAGGGCCATGCCCTCCCAAAGGCAAATCAGGGGGCCATCATATCATTTGCCCCCCCCCCCCCAAACAACCGATGGGCCCCCATGGGCGTATGGGGCCCTGGCCCGTATTCGATTGTCACGAGGCTCGAGAAACCCACGCCAGCTACATATTAGCAGATCCCATACCGGTCTTTGAGGTTCCTACACTGACCTCTGAGGGCCCTTCAGTGGCGGTCAAGCGCCCACATTGACCTCTGAGGACCCACGGTGACCTCTGAGGGCCCTCCACTGGCCTTTGAGGGCCCTTAAACCGGTCTCAGGGGCCCAACCGGCGGCTGAGGGCCTTACACAGGCTCTGGTGGCCTCATTTATGTCTCAAGACTAGCCTTTAATTGCCTCTGAGGGCCCCGCACTGGATTCTGAAGACCCGATGTCGGCCACTAAGAGCCCGGATCGACCTCTGAGGGCTCCTCTTGGTCTTTGAGGGCCCTCCGCTGGTCTCTGGGGTCCAACGCCGGCCTATGCCGGTCTTTTAGGGCCCCACACTGACCTCTAAGGGCCCATGCTAGCCTGTAAGGACCCACATTAGCCTCTGAGGCCCCCGCACTGGATTCTGAAGACCCAATACCAGCCTCCAAGGGCCCGCATCGGCCTCTGAGGACCCATCTTGGCCTTTAACCCATTAACCCGCGCCCGGCTGGGGGTCCTGGATTTCCACGCCCTGCTGGGGGGGGGGGTGTTTGAACACCCCCCTTGTAACTCGGCTCCTGGGCCACGTAGCGATACGCGGAAGGCGGCGTTCGAAAGAGCGTCAAAAATAATGACGAAATCACTTCGGTCAATTTTTTGGTCAGGTCAAAGGTCAGGTCACCAGAGGTCATTGAAGGCAAAATTTCGCCGATTTCCTGGTCGAATGTCGAAAATTTCCAAGAAGCCAACGCATAACTCGAGAACCAATAGAGCTACAGCGCCGCGGAAAAGCGCATTCGATAGCCCTATTAAAGCCCTTTCTGAGTAATTCTCTCAGATTTGACCTAACGTCAACGGTTTTGCCTGCAGGGGGCAAAAACTGCAAAAATAGCTGATTTTTTCGGAAACAGTTTTTCTGCAATAACTTTTGACCCAAGCCTTGTACGAGCTTACTTTTACCGGCATTGTGTTCCTCTCGTCGAGACGCATCGAATGAACTATAAGTTGACCTTGAAAGGTCAACTTGAAAATTTGACCTCAGGTCAAGGTCATGACCTGACCGGAAAGGGTCATGTTGCATATCAGTCGATCCGTATCGTCGAGCTGAACACATCTAAGGCGTTTTCATCGCTCTAGCACGCCTCTATCAAAAGTTATTTGCGAAAAACTGTTAGATACCATTCGTGACCTAAGATGACCTCAGGGCATAAACAAGGGTCACGGACACCATTTTCATGTTCAGTGTGTCTAAACCACTTGTAATTCGGTGTTTGGGAGTGTTTATAATGTCTTTTGTCCAAAAGAGGCGCATTTCAATTTTCTCCCATTGACTTATAATGGGGAGGTCGCAAAATTGACCTGACCTTAGGTCATCGATATCAAAATTCTGAGATGAATATTTTGTACATGCTATTGCTCTTAGCAATCGCTGAAAGTTTCAAAGCGATCGATCACTCGGTGTAGCTATGACAGACATTGAAACTTTTTATGAGGTGAGGTCACTTCAAGTGACCTGGTGACCTGACCTTGAAAGACCTTGGTCTGAAATTTTCACAACATGTGTAGAATTGATGTATGATAAGGTGTACCAAAAACGGCGGCGCTCCGCGCCGCCGTTTTTGAGATATTCGCGAAAAACCACAAGGGGGGGGGTGTTCAAACACCCCCCCCAGCAGGGCGCGGGTTAATGCCGCTTGGGTCATATATGACCCAAAAGCAAAACCTTAATGATTTTTCTCAATGAAGGCAAGTGGCACTTTGAGGAACTTGTGCGTGTGTTTTGTTGGATTTGTGGGTTCAGTGGCGAGCGTCGGAGCCCCATAAAACTTGTGTGAGCTCGTCCACTGAAGTTTCTGGAGCCAAAGACGACGGGACTGCACAGTCGCCGGTCACTGGCAATGGCGCGCCGCCCCAAAAGTAATATTATATTATGTTTGCACCTTACTATCTGTTGAATGATCGTCCACCTGGCATTTAAACTTGTCTGAAAAAGGCATGATGTATATTTTTGCCCTTCTTGTCGCCATCGGATAACTTTTTTTCCTCGATAAATATCATTGGGTCATAAATGACCCAGCCGGCAATAGTGTTGTCAATTTTCTCGTATGTTGAATACAAGGGAAGCAACTGATGATTATACGATTACTTATTTCTGGGGGTTGTGATCAGATCCCAGTGGCGGATCCAAAGGAGGGGGTCATATGGGTCACTCATGACCTCCCTTGGGGCCCGGGGGCACCACCGACCTATCAGGGGCACCACAGGCCTGACAGGGGCACCACAGGCCTAGTGCTGCGATGTTGGGATATCATGAGCGGACCGGTCGTGCGGGGCCGTGACGCGGGGCGGGCCGGCGACTCGGCCGGCCGAGGGGCACCACGGGCCTGTCAGGGGTACCACAGGCTTGTTAGGGGCACCACAGGCCTGCAGGAGCACCATCGGCTTAGCAAGAGCACCACAGGTCTGCCAGGGGGCACCACAGACCTGCCAGGGGCACCAGGAACCTGCCAGGGGCACCATCGACCTCACAGGGGCACCATCAGCCTCGCACGGGCACCTTGGGCCTGTAAGGGCTCCACGGGCCTGTCGGGAGCACTTCGGGCTTGTCAGGGGCACCACAGTCCTGCCAGGACCCAGGGGCACCAGCGGCCTAGCAGGGGCACCGCAGGCCTCCAGGGGCACCACAGGCCTAGCAATGGCACTGCAGGCCTGTCAGGGGCTCCACAAGCCTGTCAGGGGTACCTCAGGCTTGTCAGGGCCCAGGGACACCACAGGCCTCTCAGGCCTATGGTGCCCCTGACAGTGTCAGGAGCACCAGAGGCCTAACAGGGGCACCACAGGCCTGCCACCGGCACCAACGGCCTCGCCAATTTGACGTTGCAAAGCATTGCAATGCAGTGCCTCTTAATATTGTTTGGCTGAGACCGCTATACAGCATACACAATAAGGTATCTAGCTAAATCGGTTTTCGTGATAACTCCTTATTTGTGACTATACTAATGCCGGTTGGGTCATTTATGACCCATGCTTATAACTTGAGAACCGATGGAATAATTTTTTTAAGCTTGCACAGTTTTCTTACTTGGACCCGTGTGGCTAACATTTGTTAAGGGCAACTTAAGAATCAAAAAATAAAAATTCCGGCATTAATGGGTTAAGGGCCCTCCGCTGGCCTCTGGGGTCCAACGCCAGCCCATGCCGGTCTTTTAGGGCCCCACACTGACCTCTGAGGGTCCTATGCTGGCTTGTAAGGACACATATTAGCCTCTATGGGCCCTGCACTGGATTATGAAGACCCGATGCCGGCCTCTAAGGGCCCGCATCACCTTTGAGGGCCCATCTTTGGCCTTTGAGGCTGCCTCTGGGGTCCAACGCCGACCCATACCGGTCTTTTAGGGCCCCACGCTAACCTCTGAGGGCCCCATGCTGGCCTGTAAGGACCCACCTTAGCATCTGAGTGCCCAAGTCGGTTCTCTGATGGTCTCAAACTGCCCTTTGCAGGCCCTGTACTGGTGTCTGATGGCCCTAAACTGGCCTCTAAGGGCCCAAACCGGCCT